TTATCACATAATTCCTTTCTTTTATCTATAATATTTGCCATTTCACTGTGTTTGCTTTTAGTGCAAAAATTCCCAATATTTCATTACACTTTTTTGTAATCAGTAATGCAATTTATCAGTGATAAGTGCAAATATACAGATACACGTATAACTCAATTCTTTATTTTTATCTGCATTATGGTGTATTCATTTTTTGCATGTTCGTTCTTTAAACCATAGGGAAAAATCTCTTCTCGGTCTGTATTGAAAGGTTCTTAACCTCTGTAAACATGAAGGCTATAACCTTATATGTGGTTAGTTTGACACTGGAATAAATTATGTTACTGAAAACTAATAACAAATCCATGTAATCACTGCTTGGAGAAATGAAGAAAAGAAAGCAGTCCTCTTATCAATTGTATTCTTTAATGGTTAATGCCCTCAATTTTAACATGGAGGAATGACTGGCTTTGTCGGTCTCTGGACTTTGTCTGGTATCAATGAATCTTTTACACTCATTAGATACATAGTCTTCCTATCAGTTGTATACTTTAAAGGTTGATGTTCTCTGTTTAACTGTGGAGGAGAGACTGGCTTCGCCGGTCTTTAGATTTTGTTAGATACCACCGTATCTTATACACTCTTTAGTTCAATGGTTGATGTCATCTGTGTCATCATGGAGGAAGGACTGGCTTCGCCGGTTTCTAGGTTTTGTTTAGTATCACCGAATCTTATACACACTCTAGTTACACAGTCTAGTCTCTCAATTTAATCTACAAAACAGATTGTTGGGACTGTTTTCAAGTTTGAACTGGTATAAGAATTCATGAGAATATCCATGCCCAATAAGAAACACCATAAACTAAAGTTTCTAGTTACCGGTTAATATATGTTTTGCTGATTGGAGTTATATAGAATCGTTTTATATGCCTAAGTGGTTCCTTTGGGATAGCTGGTATGACCTAATCTAATCTATTTGGAATAAGCAAATGCATTCACTTTGATTGTTGATAATTATTCTACTGACGTTGCCATTTATCTTTGTTCTTGTCACTGCTATCTAGTTAAATAATTGATAAACGTTGTTTATCGATTCCATTGTTTTACGATTCATAATCAGCAGCGCTTCTATATACTAGTGTGCGGTAAGCAAGACAGATGTATACAATAGTTCCTGTGGAAGCTAAAGCGAAAAGTATTTAGAAGACATCTTTGGGCCTCTCGTGTGTTCTGCATAAATTGGGATCACTACTGTAAGCTCGTGGAGTTTTATTTGTGATATGCTTAAAAGTGTGTTTTCAAACACACTATTCTCTTGGATGGCTTCCAGAGATTTAAAGTGTGGTTGTCATTGTATTTCGAGCTGCCGCTTTAGTTTAGAGTTTTTCAATCTCGCAGCAATGTTGGCGTTGCAGTTCTTAAACTTCTCATGTAGAATTCTTGCCATCAGTAATATTGTCAGTATACTAAACTATTGATCATTGAATGAGTGAGAAATAAACTTCTAAATTTCAAGACCAACCTGCAAAGAGACTGTTTTTTGATGAATTTAGAGAAATCTATATATGAAGGATTAATTATAGTTAATCGTGTCTTTATTGTTAGTTTATACACTTAGAAAAATAAACTCTAAACACATGCGAGTTAAATTGGACTGGTCAATTTAGTTGGAGAAATATTTTAGTTGAAGTAGTAAAGAAAAAATCTTAGCTAATATACGGTACGGTGGAACCAACATGCTGTGTCGAGTAAGCATATGTTGACCTAAAATTTAGTTAGATCTGTTTAGATCAACCAAAATATTTTTCTGTGTGTAATTCATGGTTATAATTATATGGAATATATTTTTCTCGACATTATTTGTGTAATATATCAAAAGCAATGGAACACCAGCATGATTGAATTAACTTAATCGAAAGAAATATCAATATTGGTTGTTTCACCAACACATTAATGATAAAGATCCTTTCATATCCATTCAGCTATAAAGCATATGATGGTACGAAACATTTTCAGTTTTCCTCAAACTTATGCATACTGTGTACTTGATATGTGCTGTACTAGCGATGAGAGCTCATACATATATCTAAATGAATGTCAAGCAGAAATAATTGAATCACGTATTTCTTATCAAAAATATTTGATAACGAAAGGTTAAGTCAGCATCGACAAAATACAATAAAAATTTGCTTGAGATTTTTATCAAAGCATGTGCACCACATTATAGATGATATATATGGGTAACCTTTTCTCAGACCTTGGTATACGTATATTATTTAAATAGATTGAACACATAAAATCTTAATGCCAATCAAATTTTTATGTCGAATTCAACAGAAATGAATAAAAAATAAGATGAAATTAATTTTTGTGGCTTTGGCGGAAATTCATTAAAATTTTAATTGGAAACCGTCATTTATAAATTTTTAATTGTTTTTCTTTGCGTTACTGCATTAAATTAACATTTTAATTAAAAGCTGTTACGCGGTATTCAGAAAGAAATCATTATTCGGATATGAAAAAATGGATTTAGAAGGAAGGAAAAAACGGAGAAAAATCCTCAAACATGTAATTCAAGCATTTATTAAAATGAAATACATGCGTGCACACATGGTTTACGTGTAAGGACTCATTTAATAGCGTTTATCCTTCTGCATTTCTTGCTCATTTCGTTATTTCGTTGTTTCTGCAAAGCAAACTTTTAACACAAATTAAGATGGAAAAAATTGCAGGAAAATGAAACGCACATCATATGAATTTGCATAATGCATGATATCCTTAAGCAAAACACAAACACAAACGCAAACACACAACACGTATTCGCATCCTTGTATCTCTGCATCTGTGTATCTGTGTATTTGAGTATCTGTGTATTTGAGTATCTGTGTGTTTGAGTTTCTGTGTGTTTGAGTATCTGTGTGTTTGAGTATCTGTGTATCTGTGTACGCGTGCATCAATTTACCTAACCATTTCGAGCATATATAACCGAAACGTACGTGTATCTCATGTGAAAAATAGGAGCGCACGTTTCTTCAGATAAATTTAAGTTTTTCTGCTGGAAGAAGTTAAAGTTGGCCAAAATAAAAACAACACAAAGACCAATAAAAAAAAATATGAAAGAATTTAGCGAAAAAGTGCTGTTATGATGCTGAGTTTTGTTGCTGGAAGCTGTTCTGCTTTGTAATATAAACAACTTCTGACATCTCAACATAGCGTCAGCATGTCGTAGATAGTTTTATGAGCTTTCGACTAACTACTCGTATGCAAACAAACATTTTTCATTGTTATTTGAAGGTTTTTGGCGTTACTTTTTTTTTGGTTTGGAAAGCGAGAGAGGTGTACTTCAAAAGTTCGTTTCCCTCATATCAGTTGGGAAAAAGAATAATTTACTACTTTATCTGTAGGCTTATCAAGAGCAAAAATGTATCACACAGCACACAGTTATGAAAAAAAGGAAAAAAAAAACATTGATGAAAGAAAAAATTTATATTGGAAATTTTTTAAGGCTTGAGTTAAAGTTAAGTGAAATAATTGAAAAATTCTTTTTATATTAAAATTGATTAAATTTAAAATTTCATGCTTTAAATAATATTGTCCTCCAAATTTAATTTATTGTAAAAGCTACACCAACCTTTAATGCTAGCTTCCAACATATCTTGCAGATTTTAA